GGCGGGGGGGGGTTGGAGGGCCAGCGCTGGTGCGATGGGCTGAACCTGTTGCCAAGCGCTGAGCTCATGGTGTGCGTGGGGCTGGGGGGAGAGGTGAGCAGGAAAAGGGCCAGCAGACTGCTCCGTATGCCCTGGGCTCTTGGGAGACGTGGAGGGGACAATGGTACATAAACAGCGAGAGGGGGAAGCTGGTGCCTGGCGCCGTGGGCAGCACCGGGCGGCTCCGGGTGAGGGCTGAGGGGTGAGACATGACGCTCTCGGTAACACCCTGTTCTACCGCAGCAGCCGGTGTGGGCCCATCTTAGCAACTCCTCCGTGGTGGGAGCAGTCGGGACCGCAGGGGCTGTCCTTCTCCTTGCACTTGTTGCAGCTACAGCCATTGTCATGAAGAGGAGGAGAGCGACTCAGGGAACGTACAGCCCAAGCCGTCAGGAGAAGGACGGGGCTCGCGTGGAAATGTGGAATGTGATCAAGATGCCACCAACCGAGCGGCTGATCTGACAGCAGGTGCTGTGTCCTTCTAACAATGCTGGAACTGCTGCAGCATCTCTCTCTGGAGATGGGGTTTGTAGGACAGGTCTGTACTGCTTTAAGCTACTTCACAGGCCATGGGCAACTGCTCGTACCTGGCAGGAGGATTCACCTGCTTGAAGGAGCTTGGTTATTGCAGCTCATCCCAGAAAAGATTTGTATCAAATTGGTCTGGCAGCAAGAGCAGTAAACTCTGGGAGTTAAAAAAAACAGAAATTCTGGAGGGGCCAGGGGAGGCGAGGAAGCAAGTGGGGGCTGTGGCAGCAGAGGGGGGGACACAGACCCACTGCTGATGCCACACAGCCAATATACATGGCACCGTGCAGGGGTGCCATGGGGCAGGGCTAATTATTGGGAACCAAACCCCTGTATTAAGAAATAATGTAAGTAATGTGGTTGTTTAAAAACACTTGTGCCTGTGCCTCCTCTGCAAAGCTAAGGCAGGTGACCCACTGATGGGAGGGAATTCCTGGAGCTGCTGCCGTCCCTCTGCCCCCCGGCGTTACCAGACAGTGAGTACCAGGGGCTCTGTCAGACCCTGCCCAGAAACCTGCTCCCAAGACTAGACTGAACCACAGCAAGACTTTAAGTGCCTTCCTGAGACTGGTGCCAGTTACAGCATTAACTTTCTTGAAAGGAGGATGTTTATGTGCAGAAAAACTGATGGCTTTGATCACAGGTTGTGAGAAGGTTGGTGTGAGCGGGCGGGAGGTTTCCCCCTCCCTCCCACAAGATTTAGTGTTTGAGCACCAAGTGATGCTTGTCTGAGGAGGGGAGGAGGAGGAGGGGGAGGCATTTCCAGACCCCAGCTCTCAGGACAGACGGGTTTGGGTGTGGAGGTCAGTTTACTGCTCTCGTGCCCTTTCACACAAAGGCAGGGTTTGTGTTGTAGAGACACAGCGTTCATCTTCCACATTGCCCTAAAAAGGCTATTTATTTTGTGGCTTTACTTCTCCTTTGTTACTGTTTTAGCTGCTGAGTGAGCCATTTCTTCTCTAGCACAACGTGGCAGACCCTGTGGAAAGAAATGCAGCAGAGCAGGCCCAGTAAGGTCTGAACTCATTAACATTTCAGGATAATTACTACAACTATTGCTGAGAACTATTTTAGAAAACAGCATCTGCTTTTTAATCTCCAGAATGCTGTTAGTGAGCAGGGTGTGACTCTGCCCACTGTAGCTAATGGCCACCGGAAGAAAATGCTATTCTGTTTTGCTCTTGGATATATTATATTTTTTAACTGTAGCTGTAAATTTTTCTGTAATTCTAAGCAAAGGGAAGAGACCGAAACTACTGACCAGTTCTGTCACTTAGGAACAGATCTTCTGCACAGGTGCAGCTGCTGATGTAAGATGAAGAATAAAAATGGTGGAAAATAGAAAAAACAAACCATGGGGAGAGAAGACAATTAACATTTTGTGTTTGGTGTTGGGATGACTTTCCCTCTAATGCTGAGGAAAAGTTGGAAGAGGTGATCCCACCCCGGCTGTGGTTTGGAGAGGAGCTGATAAAGAAAGGCCCTGCTATCAGTGGGGGCAGCTCGCTAGGGCTTTTAGTTAGTTATTACTAATGACACTGCTCTTACCTCTGATGTGAAGGATTTGCTCAGTGTATCTTCCCGCTGGTATTTCGGAAGGTCTGACACCCTTCAGAACAGGCAGTTCCCTGGCCCCATCCCCTGGCTGCACTGGGACTGGTTCCCTCAGCACAGGGACAAGGTGAGAGCGTCCAACAGACGAACGGCGCCTTCGGGGGAGCGGGGGCTGTGAAGGGGCAGGACCCCCAGCCCCGGCTGGTTCCTCTTGGTCTGGGTCTGTCCCTGGCTTAAGGGTGGGGGTATCTCCTGGTGAGAAAGGGCTGGCAGAGCCCCCCGTGGCCTGGCAAAGGAAGGTGGGGTTTTCTTCACCCCACAGTGACTTGCAATAAACCTGCCCCAAGCTCAGACTCTGCTTTGGGTTTCTGCAAACTTGGACCTGATTCACCTCCAGGGTGTTACTTTTTAGCACCACTCCATTTTTTTTGTGTTTAAATTGTAGAAAAATGAGGGCAGCAACAGGATGTGATGAACCAGTGTTACCCTCAGCCTGTAGTACTTTGAGAGCCACCCAGAACTGGGTTGTAAGAGCTGGCTGTTACCCAGGTACTGAAATGCCCTGGAAGGCAACCAGAACCCACAGCCCCCGCCCCAGGACAGGCACCTGAAGCCCCGTGAGCCCCCGGCAGCCAGTCTGTCTGCGGCACCACGGCTCCTGCCCCATCGCGTCACAGCGTTAGCAGATGGTTTTATTTCGACACCCAAAGCCAGTACTAGGAAAAGTGTTAAAATACTTTGTCAGTGTCTTGAGCATTTCTGCAAAATAATTTATGAAAGTTGTTTGGTTTTGTTTTTTTTCAATAATGAACTGAACTTTCTTTTGATATTTAATTTTTGAATATATTTTTTCACAAAACCAGATTTGCTGTAGTTAATGATCATGATCCTGGTTTCTTTTGTAAATTTTGTAATTTGTAAAAGATTAGAATGTCCTTCAGAAGAAATTTACAATAAAATTTGATTAAAAATAGACCTAGTTACCTTGAATTGTTTGTTCTTTCTTTCTGAAGAGTAACTTGCTGTCTAGGTGGCTGGTTTTGGTCAGTTCCAGGGTTTGCAGAGCCATAAACCTCAGTGCCTCTGTCACAGTTACTACATTTCTGGTTATTTTGTCGTGCACTGGGGCTCTCAGCACAGAGGATGAAGCAGAGCCCTTGTAGAAACACAGAAGGGGCTGTCAAACCTCCTGCATTTCCTTTTTCCTCTACTGAAACCCGTGCTGCTCCACTTTACCATTAATCCCTTACTTTATGAGCAAAGAGGCCAAGATCAGCCTGTGGTCGGAGCCATGAAATACCCAACAGCCGGAGGCTTCTTGTTCACCAGGAGACAAATTCACCTGCTGCTGATGGAAAAATCACTTTTTGTGTGTACTGTGAGTGTACAAGGAGCAAAGCACATGGAACAGATATTACAGGTCACCGAGACTAAATCCCAGCGGGCGCAGGGACAGACTTTAGGCAGCAGTTACCTGTCCTTCACCTACTGCTCTTCTGAAGACAGTGCCTGAAACATTCCTGTGTAACAACAGAAACGTTACTGCACACACTTCTGTCTTCAGGGTGTCACTGACTCAGTGGTTCCTTTGGTTGGTTAAAGGGATATTAATTATTAAAATTATTAAAATATCACAGCCACTTGTAACTGACAGACTCTAACCACCCCCTGACCGGAAAGAAATCTGAGCAGATGTCAATCTCCAGCTTGATTGTTTCCACACACATTAAAAAAAGAGGGGAAAAGGGAGGAAATATCTAAGCAGCTCAGACTGTTCATTGCAGGTTGGAAAAACCATCCCTGGTACTTGGAAAGAAATCCCAGCCTCTGGTCATTAACACCTGCACGAGAGAAAGGGCTTCTGCAACAAGCCTTGTGTGTCGACAGCTTCCAATTCCAGCCTCTAAAATATTTCTAACCTAAGGAGTAAGATATAAAAACGGTTCTCCCATCTGTACAGCATCAGAAAATTGAGAGGGTTGGGTTTTTTTAAACAAAATTTTAAAATGAAAGTTACTTCTAATGGAAGGAAGCACCTGTAAATAAGCAAAAGCAGGAGCAAACAAGCAAACAAGGATGGTGAGTACAGGAAAAGGCACAAAGCTGAATATAAAGTCATTGATGAATCATATCAGACAAGGAGGAAAAGGAGCACTTGTACTAGATTAGTAAAACCATGAAAAATACCTCTACATCAGAAAAAGCAATGTTTTCCATCCCAGCTGGCTCTCCCAGACGAGCACACCTTGTTTACATCTGGCACTGTTGGGAATGAATCATGTTAGGAATTCCTGAGTTTAAAGACGACAATAACTACTGCCCTGGGGCCGTTGGAGTCCTTTATTAGGAGAAGCACAAAACCCATCTCTGGGCTGCGGAGTCTGTCCAGGACGTGGGGACGCTCACACGCTCCGGGAAGGTGCCGCCCCCGCCCCTCCCCGACGCAGAGAAGGGGGTTAATTCCATTTGTGTTCAGTGTTCATGCTTTTCAGGGCCTCAAAAATGACTTAAAAAAATAATCCAAGACTGCTTGTTTGTACAAAAATCAACTGCGTAAAACATTCCATAATATGAGCAGAGTAAAATAATCAGAGCTGGAAAGTGACCTGCAACGATACAGAGTTACCTGAGTGGTTCTCATGGAGGCGGAGGGTCCCGCTCACACGAACACCCCGGGGGAAGAGAAGGTGCCATCCCGCGGCGCGGCGCACGCAGGGCCTGCTGCTGCCTCTGCACCCACCGTGACTGAGAGAGTGCTACCATTGGCTCAGCGCAAAGGAGATCTGAAATTCCAGACTCAATTTATATATAATGTTCATATTCTGAGCTGTATAAAATAAAATGGAGCTATTATCTTAGACTTTAAATATTTTACTATGCAATACTAAAACCATCTGTCTTCCAACACAAAAACAAAATACAAATCCAGCTGAATGGCGTGTCCGAGTAACAGGACTTTACAGAAATCGAATATTGATGTAATTCTGTGGTCTTCCCAAACTGTTGGCATTTCAGATAGTGAGAGTATTTTGCTTTTGTATCGCACAGACTCGCACGCAGAGACAGCCATTCCCATACACTGCAGTAAGAAAACTTCCAAGGTTATATATGAATAAAATAGATACATTGGAAATCAGATAAAGCTTTACAAGAATTTCCCCATGTGTCCAAAATTATTTCCTTTATCAAAGGCTTAATGGTGATGCGATTACCTCTTCCAGAGTAACATGTTTTACATCAGATTGTGCCCAAATACAAAACAAAACAAAAAAGCACCACTTAAGTAAAACAGAAATGATCACTGCAAAGACAGCAGCTTTTATACGGGATGCTGGGATTAAGATGAAATTTCTTGAGAATACTATTGCCACAGAGAAGTGTCATAGAAAATGAGAAAGAACGTACCCTTTCACCCATTCATTGCATTTTTGTACGTGATGACCTCACAGTCCATGTCACTGTCCAGTTAATGTCCTGTTACACCAGCAAATGTTCTCCTCCACAGTGGGACAGAGACTGGGGTGGGTCAGATGGGCTGACGGAGCCGGGCAGAGCAGACTGAGATCCTGGTGGCCGATGGCAGCGACGGGCAGTTCTGGGGCCACGTCCCATCGCCCTCCCCCGTCCCAGCCCTGGCCCTGCTCAGCCCAGCCCGGAGCCCGACAAGTGCCACCGCCTGCACCCCCCTGTGCTCAGACCACCTTGGCACCTCACTGCCACTCAGACTCAGGAGCTTTATACCCCTTTTTTTTTTTCCTCCTTTTTTTGTTGTTTTTTATAATTGAGTAAGATATTGTTACATCCCATTCATATACTGCCATCTATAATATTTATATATAATATTACCATACACATATATAAGAACTAGGATACTCTTTATGGCCTCTATTTTCTGATGTACTTAACAAAAACAAACAAATAAACAAAAGCCCCCAAAAGAAAAATCAATTGCTGGTGTTTCCAGTTTCCCAACAGAGATGCAGGACCAAACCCTGAGCAACTGCTCTGTGCTGGGGTTTTGTAGCAACAAGGGATGATGACAATTCCTCACCTGAGAGGTCCCCGTTACCTCTCGGTGCCAGTGACCCGGGGGGGAGGAGGGAGAATCAAAAATCTGCAGCAAAAGCTCATCCAAGAGTATCACCTAAAAGAGCATCTGTATTTCAAGAGGGGACAAACCCGGAGCCTAATGGATGAATTCAGCACAACCCACAAGTTGGGGTTTGTTGCTGCACTTCACGTGTGAAAGCAAACCCTGGTAATTGTAGGTGTCACGTGGAACCACTGACCAGCACCGACAGGACACCACGTGCTCTGCCGCGCTCCCGCCCGCGCTACAAGGGAAGGGGTAACCTCTGCAGCAGTAGCTCTGTCTGAAAAGCTGTGTGTGGAAACCAAACAAAACCAAACCCCAACCCCAGCTCCCTTCATGCTTTGGTCAGTGCAAGAGGCCCGGGTTCAGCAGCAGAGAGAGAGGAAGCAGTTGCAGGGGACTCTGAACTCGGGGCAAAAAGCTCTCGTGTGGGAATTGCAGCACGGTGATGGTCCTGCAGCTATCCTGGCTCAGCCTTCCAGAAAAGAAATGCTTGGTTTTATGCTGGCTCAAAAAACCAAAAAAAACCCCTCTGTCAATTCCAAAGGGAAATCAAAAGGCCATTGGGAGCATTACTCAAAGGTTTCCCATCGCTTTCTGAGCTGCTCCACCTTACCTGGTGTGGATGACACGTCTTGCTTTGTCTTTTTTAACAAATCTTCAAATGGATCTTTTGTCTCCTCAGATTTAGAGGACAGTAACACTGACTCTAAGCCCTTAGCTGGCCTGGAAGGGATCAAAGGGGGTTCGTTAGACAGGAGAGCTACCCCTTGTTTGGGATCTACCTTTGAGCTGGACTGGCCCATCTGTAACGTTCTGGCTTTAGGAGCACCCCCGCCTGCCGGCTGCAGGGGGGCTGCTGGGGAGGGGCTGGGGCTCTGCAGCAGTAGGGAGCTGGGGGCAGGGACAGCAGGAGCCTGGCTAAACAGGTTTGGCATGGACAGCGTGGACATGTTTGGTTGAGGTCTTTGTGGTGGGTAGAAGGTAGAATTGGGCGTTATGAAGCTAGAGCTATAAGCGTGACCTAAGGAGGGGGTGAAGGAGCCCCTGGGGGGTCTTACTAGAGACACCGAGAGGGCTCCTGGCAACGTTTGTGTAAAGGGATTAGGAGATGGCTGTAAAAAAGGGGGTGGTGCTGGGGAAGGGTAACCAAGGGGATGGACAAAGGGTGCAGCTGGAGGAGGCACAAAGTCACCTGCCACCGAGACAAAGCCAGTGGCAGCAGGTGGAGTGGCTGAGCTTTGCAGGCTGTGGGGACCTTGTTGTGGGCCACTGCTTTGCCAGCTGGCTGTTTTTAATGGATCCAGGAGGTTAAGAAGGTAGTCACTCTCGTTATCTGTATTATCTGTCTTCACCTTGACAGGCTGGAGCATCTCAGCAGTGCTGGCAGCACCGGACAAAAGCTGAGACGGACGAGAGGAGTAATTCACAGACTGCTGGATTTCGGGGTCTAAGGACACGCTGCCAACTCCAAAGGGCTCTGGGATCAGATCTGAAACCAAAGGGCTACGTCCCGTAGCGTGGGGGGTGAGAATTTCTGTTGGCCCGGCTGGAGTCTGATGCTTGGAAGCCCTGGGTGCTGGTGGTGGTGGTGGCACTATCCCCAGTTCAGGAGTCTTTCTTCCTTGTGGCCTAGGAATGGTGATGTTCCCTTGAATGGCAGGATTTGATTCCTCCTTTTCTGCAGGAGCCAGAACACTGTCCCTGCTCCGAGGTCTCCGTGACATTGACGGCAAAGTGCCAAGCGCAGTCAAGGGCCTTTCCGGAGAGCTTTGGGAAAACTTGGTGGGAATGGCCATATCATCCTGACCCATACTCCACAGCTTGTTGTAAGGGTGAGACAGCTTCATGGTTGGCACGATCCTGTTCCTCTCAGACACACCAAGATCCATTCTCTGCAAGAAAGTATAAAAAAATGTTAACTTTTACTGCTCCCCTCACAACACAGAGCACAAAGCACAGAGGGGCTGCTGGGCCACGGGTGGAAGGGGATGTGTCCACAGAGGGTGAGCACCAGAGAGGGACAACACAGGCAGCCGAGGAGGACAGACAGGAGATCAGAAGCAGAACTCTGCAGTTTTAATTCCAGCTCTGCCTCTAATGAGTGTTGGTGTGACATTGTGGCATCTGTTGTTAGCCCAGTGAGGAGCATGTACCCATATCCAAGGCACAGGAATTGAGGAGCCGTAATTGTGGTATGGAAAAGGCTGTCAAATGAAATATCTGGGTATAACACTAAATTAAATATTATGATAAGGTAGAAATGACATTCTTTTCTTTCATGTCGCACAAAGATCTCAGTCTGCTTTAGTTTGGCACTTTAAGCTGCACATATTCTGTGAATTTCCTCATAAAGAATCTCTCTTTGACCATCAAGATTGTTCAGAAGATCCCCAGACCAAAAAGGCCAGATTACAAGAAGGTCATTTAAAAAACATGGAGTTTGGAGGGGATCTGAAAATTCCCAGGTATTCCTTCTCACTGCTGAGCATCGGCTTCAAAAATAACTGTGTGACAGCCAATGGACAGAGCAGACCCTGAGGAACAGCGCAAATATTTCTTCCTTTAGAAACAAAGGCTGTAGTTTCAGTGGAAAAAGTTACTGTCTTAGAACTGAGTCCCATTCTAATAATTTCTTAATTCAGAAATGGACTCTAAAACTCATGAACAAAGGGCTGGGAAATGGATGCGTGTACCCAATAATATGAAAATGTCCCCCAGAGAAGGGTGAAGACAGCCCGTCCCGGTCCTGTGCAACCCCCAGCGCGGGTGAACCCCGAGCAGACCTGGTAATCAAAGGTGCATCGCTGCTCGCCCTCCTCCTTGGGTGTCCTCAGGTCCTCCAGGCTCTTGGCCTGGCTGAGAGGCTGCGGCTGCGTTTCCACTTCCAGGTTAGGGAAAATGTCTTCAAGGAGGTTGACTTCTGCAGCCTTGCTGGAGAGGAGGGGGCTGGGGGGCAGAGGCTCTTTTGACTTCTCTGGACTGACAGTCTCTTCCCCATCAGCACTATCGGATTCTTTCAGGGCCCGGTAGGGCTGAGGCCTGGGAGAGAAACAAAAATCATGTTGCACATCACTGTCTCTAATTTTTTTTTTAAACAAGTATTTAGTAAGGAGCTGGATGGCTTTACAAAAAACGTTTGGGTGGCAAAACACAGTACCCTGTGAACAGGAGGAGCAGTGACCGAGGGCAGAAGGACACACAGAGATGGCACTTGAGGGGTTTCAGAAAGGAAAAAGGCACAAGTGGAAGGTACTCAGAGGAGAGCTGGGCTCATGCAGTCACAGCCAGGCTGCTGAGGGAACCCTGGGCACAGGAGTGACGGGACGGTGGCTCTCTGTTTCAACAGCCCCCCGGCAGGTCACTGCTCAGGGCTCCTCCACAAGAAGCCAGAGCAAGTGCCCTGCAATGAGCCCTGGGTTTTGCAGGCACTTACGGTCTCTTGCTGCAAAGCAAACTCAGCACAGAACATAATTCAGTGTTTTCCTGCCATAATTGGGAACACTGTGCAGAGTTCCAATGATTACACTGGTGTCATCTTATCCAGAAACAACACAATCCATTATGGAGACACCTATTTTACATTTACAGCCAAGGCCGAGTTAGCAGGATGCTTTTCTTCCACATACCTCAGCGAAAAAATGAACACCAGCAGATTTGCATATTGGTTCTGTGTACAGAGAACAGCAGCATAATGCACAGCCAATTAATAACAAGAAGTGCCATACGTATCTGTGGTGATTGGCATTTGACTGGCAGCCAGTTTTACTGTGGCATTTAAACAAGGTTTCAATTAAAAGAAAATATTTGTGAGACCTGCAAAAACAGATACTATGGAAGAGCCCTCCTCCTCTTCCCGTATTTTTTTATAATACATCTATATCATGCAAATTTATAAACAGCCCATCTTACTTCATTCATCAACACATAAATAGCAGGCATTCAGCGAGCAACGCGAGGACGTAATAATGCAAGTACAAGACAGACAGCTGATGGTACACGTCCTGAGGAACAGGGGGATCTTGCAAATCTCAGTCGTATCTTTAGTCTCTCACATGATACACACTCACCTGCTACGCACGAGATCACACCGCGCAACGGCCCTGAGGAACACTCTGCAAACACACCATTTCAGCAGCCTGGTCTCCTCCACCCCAAACACTAGAGTGTGGGAGCGTCTTCTGCTCCTTGGCTACTCAACCTGTCCGTCTGTCTGTCTGTGCTGGACTGCCGGCCGTCACCTCCCTTCCCTGCCCCTCTCCTGGCTGTCACCTCCCCTCCCTGCCCCTCTCCGAACCCACCTCCTGCCTCACACAATGTCACCTCTGGGGGACGTGCCTCGGCTCAAGACCCCTCCTGGGGCAGCACCTTCAATCTGCAGTGAGAGGCACTCAGTGCAGTGAGTCCGTGTGTCGCCTCCACCCGGCCACCGGAGCAGGAGGGACGGGCACCGCTCGCTGCCCTGGCATGGCCACCGCGGGCAGGATCATAGAAGCATAGACCTGTCCAGGCTGGAAGGGACCTCCAAAGGTCATCTAGTCCAACCCAGGTGAAACTAGAAAAAGCCAGTAAGTGCACTGCAATGAGGCCCACAGGACAACCCAAGAAGCCCAGGTAGCACCACATGGGGAAGAACGACAGGTTTGGACAGGATCAAGCAGCACATTGGAACAAAGGGCCAGTGAAAGGTTACACCCCCCAGAGCTCACGTCGACGTAAAACCATGAGCTGTGTGTTCTGCAGTAGTTCATGCAGGAGAAGGCTTTTGCATGCTGCCAGACACCAACACAAACAAGCAGGAGAAATGGTGAACATTCATCAGGCACCGTACAGAGACCACAGGAGCATTTCCAAAACTCCAAGTACAGGAGCAGGCACCCTGACCAGCACAAAGCCATTGCTCGAAGGCTGAATTAATACAATGAAAGAATAAAGGATAGACCATTCAAAAGGAGCAGAGAAGAAAAAGTTTTCAGAGAAGCCAGAGACAGGATCCTCTTCCTGCTGAAATTCATCATCAGAAGAGTCCTCAGAGAGGAAGACCGTATAGTGTCGCATGGGCTTTACAAGGCTGAGGGAAACAGGGAGAGAAAAGAAGTTATCAAGTCGCCACATTCAAAGCTCCAGAGGAGAGAGAAACCAAGAGATTTGTAGGCCATGACTGATGGGCACCGCAGAGCTCTGCTGGGCAGTGCTGAGCTCTACTTCTCCGGCAGAAAATACACCTCTTCTAAGTCTTGGGTGCCATCTCGTCGGGAAGGGCACCAAGACCTGGATCCCACCCATATTGCAAGAGAAGCCAGTACAGAAACCCACCCTTTCCCTGCTACATTTTCCAGTTTCTTTCCATTCTTTAGAAATACATCTTTGCTCCTCAGATTCTCTGAGCTCTGACTACACACACACAAGTATTAGATCAACCTCTCTGCTTTACAGACATTCAGCCTGCCATCAGTCTGATACAAGAGGAGCTGACTTGAGGGTAACAATTCCTACTGGCATCTAGTTTGGAGATCTGAAATCACACGAGAAGAAAACCAAAACTGTCCATGGATTTATATATATATATATATAAGTGCAGTTTGTGAAGTAAAGTGCACGTTTCTCCTGTTTCTTTCCTTGATAGTTAACTACTTTCAAAGTCTGGCAGAAAAGGGACCAAAACTAATTTCTCCTGCATCCCAGGACGGTAACTATCAATCTGTGAATTCATTAGCAGCAGCTGGGAACAAAAACTCCTTCAGGTGAAAACAACTTGAAATCAGAAATGCCTCTGGAAACACACTTCAGCTGTTATTTAAAAAACCCAACCACGACAAAAAACCCACCCCCAAACCCTCAACCCCCACCATTTCACCAGACTTTAGACAAGAATGTATTAGTCATATTTATTTTATCCCCAGAGGCCAGATCTCCAGGGTTTGCTCTTGTCTGGCATATCTGTGAGGGCATGAGTGGAAACAAACAAAAAAAAGAACCACAAGAGAAGCTCTTTCCAAGGGCACGATAAGCCACCTTTGTGTCTCATGGACCAAACTGGCTGATGAACTCTGGCGGATGCTGCCAGAGAACATCGTTTACAAGTCTCTTTTTTTCCTTCCCCAGATACCCAGAACATTGGAAAAGAAATCACCAGGATCACAGAAGTAAATGGTGTTTCTAACCGCCCGAATGAGGGCTCTTCCCAAACATCTTCATTTTCTCAGCCATGTACCACTGGTAACACCCCACTGAATCCAAACACACAATGACACAAAGCAACACACAGGTGAGACGGGAGCCTCATTTTGCTGCTACTGGGGACCAGAATAAAATGTGTTATTGCCTTGAGAGCAGAGTCAGGCTCATCACATGGAACAAAGGCTTTGTCCTGACCCTGCAGGCATCAACAGAGCAACACACGTGTATCACACCACGACGGCCCTTCTAGGTAAGATGAGGATACACTGAAATCAGAACAGGGCCAAAATCATAGACAGAAAGAATGATTTGTTACCTTTATAGTACAGACATATTAACAAGCTACCTCTAGTAGCACTTGAATTCCTAATCAGCCTTCACTCTTCTTGTTCTTTTGTCCCAATCACTAAATAACTGTATAATAAAGTTACGAAAATCAGTCTAAAAGATTAGGTTGGAAAACGAGAAGTTGGACACTAGAGCCGGCAGCTCAAGAGGGCCCAAGCTGCAGCTGTGAATAAATGTGTATTCACAATCAGGTCAGAGCTAATTAATAAAAAGTCTAAAATAGTGGTGGCAGTGGATGCAGCTGATGGTGTTAAATCATAGTCTGTGGTACTCCAATTAAAGCTGTTGCAGAGCGGTTCTTTTCCTCTCTTCTGCTCTAACAGGCATCCAGGGAAAGTGAGATGATGCCATTGCATTAGGAAAAATTTGTTATAACATTTTTTTAACCTTCTTTATTTTTCCTTTTTTTTTTTTAGGAAAGTGACTATTATAAAAAAATGTCAATTTACATTAACAAAAGGCTCGACCTAAAATAAATCAAAATTCAAACATACTTGAAAAGTTTTTCTTTTTTAAACTTATATACACATCTTTTTGTCTTTGTAGAGTAAATTACCATTTAGTGATTCCAGAAAATCTAAAATTATTTCCAGAAATCAAGAGCGATACTGAATTTCCACATATCTTGCCAATAGACTCCATGTTTGGTAACTGCACACAGCAAATGCATTGGTGCAGCTGCCCTGAAAGCACTGCCTCTGGTACCTTTTGTTTGCCTTCAGACCCTGCTGAATCCCCTTGCGTTGCTTGTGCACATATTAAATAAACTGGGGACAAACTATGAAGAAATCAGATGGGCTCTTGTTGGCTGATCATCTATGGCACTCCAGTGCAGCTCAGCACAAATAAGATTAAATATAAAGCAAGTTAATATGCACTGGGTTTGCTGCTGTTGCAAGACTCCTGAAATGAAAGTGGGATCTGATAATTAGAAAAAAGAGAGCACTTAAGTTTCGCTGTTGGAGCGCTCCATAAGAGGTTTTGGTCCAAGACAAGGGACGAACAATCTAAAATTGCCCGAGTTTAAATTTTTTATTAGCTGGAGGCAGTAGAATCCAAAAAAAGTGCCTATTCCCTCATTAACCCAATTGGGCGCCTCTCCCGCAGGCTGCCACCCGCCCCTCGCTGGGATTTCGCACACAAAGAGCTGTCTCTGCTCAGGCAGGTCAGAGCCAGCCCCGCGCGGAGCCTGCGAGGGAAAAAAGGATGTGTCCGTCACAGCTACAACCCTCATCATCTCCACATGACTGCACCAGCTCCTGCCTACCTAATCTCTTCCCCGAGTTACCATGCAGATGACTTGCTGATCTCTTTCTAATGTTTAGTTTAACATGTCTTCGGTTAGCACCAGCATATGACAGTACTGACAGCCGTGGCTGTTCCTTTTTAAATATCATGTCAGAAACACGGCGCAATAAAGCCGGGGATGCGCTCCATGGCTCTGCGTACCATTATGATAGTATGGGTTTCTTTTTTAATGAGGAAGATCTGCATCTCAGGAGCTTTTTTCATGT